GGCCATACTGGGTCAATGACATTGATCTAATATGGCCATGTGGCCATATTAAGTCATTCATGTCATGAGCATCCCAGCCCCATGTTGCCATTAGTCTAATGATGTTATAAGCATTCCCACCAATGAAACGCTTCCTGACCTAGTGTGACAACACTGACTTATTATACTGTATCTATGGAGTAGTGATGCTGAGCTTGAGTTCAATCTCAAGCTCGTATGAACCCAAAAGTTAGCTGTCATTGCTGGGCCAATGAGCTACAGGTAGGACATTCCTGGCCCCATAACTGACATACACAAAGGGTTGGGGATGCTTCTAACATCCTTGACCTAATATGGCCCCATCCCAGCCCCATATGGCCATATTAGGTTAATGATGTTATAAGCATTCCCACCAATGAAACGTTTCCTGACCTAGTGTGACAACACTGACTTATTATACTGTATCTATAGAGTAGTGATGCTGAGCTTGAGTTCAGGCAGAACCCAAGTTCAATCTCAAACTCGTATGAACCCAAAAGTTAGCTGTCATTGATGGTCCAATGAGCTACAGGCAGGACATTCCCGGCCCCATAACTGACATACACAAAGGGTTGGGGATGCTCATAACATCCTTGACCTAATATGGCCCCATGAGGAAAGGATACTTGTGATATCTATGACCTAATAAGGCTACAAGGCCATATTAGGTCAATGTCCATGCAGCCATATTAAGTCAAGGATGTCATAAGCATCCTCATCAATTACACACTTTCTGTTCCAGGGTGACAACAAAGACTCACTGTACTGTATCTATGGAGTAGTGATGGGCCTAGGTTGGGTCCAAACCCAGAAGGTAACTGCCAGTGCCAGGCTAGTGAGCAGTGGGCAGGAGATTCTCCACCTCACAGCTGAAATACTCAGAATATTAGAGATGCTCATGACATCCTTGACCTAGTATGACCACATTATCATAATAGGTCAATGTCATTGATCTAATATAGCCACGTGGCCATATTAAGTCAATGGTGTCATGAACATCCTTACCCCACATGGCCATATTGGTCAGATTAGGTTAATGATGTCATGAGCATCCCCGCCAATGACACACTAACTGTGTCAACTTAAGTAGTGATGAGCTTGGGTTTGGTCCAAGCCCAGACGTTAGCTGTCTGTGTCAGGAGCAGGAGACTCCCTGCCTCATAGCTCACATACACGAAGGTTCAGGATGCTCATGAAATCTTTGTCCTAATATGGCCAAATGGCCATACTGGGTCAATGTCCTTGATCTAATATGGCCATATGATCATATTAGGTCAATGACGTCATGAGCATCCCCGCCCCATGTGGCCATCTTAGTCTAAGGATGTTATGAGCATATCCATCAATGACACACTTCTTGTCCTAGGGTGACAAAACTGACATACAGTACTGTATCTATGGAGTCGTCATGAGCTTGGGTGCAGGCCTGGGCTTGGTCCGAACCAAAAGGCTGTCGTTGCTTGACCAGAGAACTGGGGGCAGGAGACTTCCTCCCTTGGAGTGACATACACAAAGGGTTGGGATGCTCATAAAGTCCTTGACCTAGGATGGCCAAAGCTCCATATTGAGTCAATGGCATTGACCTAAGATGGCCTTGTGGCCATGTTTGTCAATGATGTCATGAGCATCTCTGTACCATGTGGTCACATTAGGTCAATGATGTCATGAGCATTCCTGCCCCTTGTGCACATGAAGCTGCACCTTAGGGAATCCCCCGCCCACAGCTCATTGGCCCGGCACTGACAGCTGCCTCCTGGGCTCAGACCAAACCCAAGCCCGAACCCAAGCTCATCCCTACTCTTGAGTTCACGGGGTTTACACACATCACAGAACCCAACTTTATGGAGAAAGAAAAGATGAACTATTTAATAACTAAACAACAGCTTGAATAGTGCAGCAGGCCATACCAACCAATGAGAATGCCTCTTTCTGTACGAAAATAAAATCTGGTTGGTCACAGCAGTTTGCATACCACCTAACCTTCTCCGCCTGACTATTCCCTGGCCTGTCCCTATCATTCATTGGATTTCAGTTCCCTTCGATCATCGAGGCTCAGCATAAGAGTGGTCTTTTGTTTTCAGGTTCCTATGTATAGCCCCTCCCACCAGCCATGATCTACTTGCATTGCATAGAAAAGTACAGAGACTCAGTGATGATGTCACTGGGTCTAAAATAAAGCATGTAATGAACATGGGAAGGTTTTCATTAGCATGTTCGTGAAGTGGGAAGGAAGGAACCAGGGGAGGCAAAACAGATTCAACTTTAGGATGCTCGAGATGAACTTTTGATGATCGTGTTGCCTTCCATTTAAAGGGGTTGTCAGCAGTAAGTGTGGCTGCCATTCCTGCAAGGATATAAAGCAACAGTCAGCAGCAAAGGCGTGAGAAGAAAGACATAATAATGCCGAGCCGAAATCTTCCTGGGCTGCAGACGGGCTGATAGGCGAGAATTGGAGATTGGAGCAGACAATGGCTTAATTCTCCGCATACAGAGAGGGAACATAAAGAGAACAGCGGTCCCATTCCCCGGTGCCGCCTGTTTGGAGATTAGCTGCCAAGTCTGGAGAAAAGGAGAATTTAGCACTTTGCATATTGGACAAGAAATGTGTTTGGATGGCGGCAGGTTTATTACGATTGCGAGAATTGGGTCAGACGCTTTATTGGGCAATTTAGCACCCCGCCCCCTCCTGCTACAATGTATTGTGCTTTATTAAAGGGGAAAATGAGTCGACTGATTGTTTATAAGAAGGCGGCTCTGGGGCTGTCATCCTCTACCTGCAAGCATGCAGCCAGTGAAGTAAGATGCCCTCAGTCTTCTACTCTATCCCCCCCACATGTCTCCAGTTCAAATCACACTTGTAGCATCCCTGTATTCTCTAACAGTCTCCTCCAGTATATCTGCAGTATTTGACCGTCTCTTGTATCATGTCTGCAGTCTCTGACCATTTCTTGTATTATGTCTGCAGTCTCTGACCATCTCTTGTAGTATGTCTGGTGTCTCTGACCATCTCCTGTAATATGTCTGCAGTCTCTGACCATCTCCTGTAGTATATCTGCAGTCTCTGACCATCTCTTGTAGTATGTCTGGCATCTCTGACCATCTCCTGTAGTATATCTGCAGTTTCTGACCATCTCTGGTATTATGTCTGCAGTCTCTGACCATCTCTGGTATTATGTCTGCAGTCTCTGACCATCTCCTGTATCATGTCTGCAGTCTCTGACCATCTCCTGTAGTATGTCTGCAGTCTCTGACCATCTGTTGTAGTATGTCTGCAGTCTCTGACCATCTCCTGGTATTATGTCTGCAGTCTCTGACCATCTCTGTATCATGTCTGCAGTCTCTGACCATCTCCTGTAGTATGTCTGCAGTCTCTGACCATCTGTTGTAGTATGTCTGCAGTCTCTGACCATCTCCTGTATCATGTCTGCAGTCTCTGACCATCTCCTGTATCATGTCTGCAGTCTCTGACCATCTCCTGTATATGTCTGCAGTCTCTGACCATCTCTGTAGTATGTCTGCAGTCTCTGACCATCTCCTGTATCATGTCTGCAGTCTCTGACCATCTCCTGTAGTATGCCTGCAGTCTCTGACCATCATCTGTATAATGTCTGCAGTCTCTGACCATCTCCTCTATCATGTCTGCAGTCTCTGACCATCTCCTGTAGTATGCCTGCAGTCTCTGACCATCATCTGTATAATGTCTGCAGTCTCTGACCATCTCTTGTGTAGTATGTCTGCAGTCTCTATCCATCTCCTGTAGTATGCCTGCAGTCTCTGACCATCATCTGTATAATGTCCAGTCTCTGACCGTCTCCTGTATCATGTCTGCAGTCTCTGACCATCTCCTGTAGTATGCCTGCAGTCTCTGGCCATCATCTGTATAATGTCTGCAGTCTCTGACCATCTCCTGTATCTCCTCTGCAGTCTCTGACCATCTCCTGTAGTATGTCTGCAGTCTCTGACCCTCTCCTGTATCATGTCTGCAGTCTCTGACCGTCTCTTGTATCATGTCCGCAGTCTCTGCCCATCTCCTGTATCATGACTGCAGTCTCTGACCATCATCTGTATATGTCTGCAGTCTCTGACCATCTCCTGTACTGTGTCTGCAGTCTCTGACCATCTCCTGTACTATGTCTGCAGTCCCTGACTCTCTCCTGTAGCATCCCTGCAGTCCCTGACTCTCTCCTGTAGCATCCCTGCAGTCTCTAGCAATCTCCTGTAATATACCTGCAGTCTCTTACAGTCTTCTGTAGCCTTATTTATCCAGAATATTTTACGTGGCCCCCCGTCAGGGGCCACAATTGGGGTCTCTTTACCTCGTAAGGTAACCATCACTTCGACACCAGAACATATCATTCTGCGTTGTCCAGGATCCCCTCCCCCCTGTCCATCTATTGAGCGGCAATGCAGAGAGCAGTATATTGTACAGATTTGCCGTGAGCGTTGTGACCTCTCGGAGATGTCTATCTGGTATGACTGGAGGTGCCCTTTATGTGCGTCTGATGATTTATATAGAGTGTCAGGTCTGTGCGCCTTTATGGCGCTTTAGGGCCTTCTATTGTGTAAATGGCAGGTCGGCCTGAAACAGATCCCGCGATTAATATTTCATTGGCGTGCCGCTGTAATTGTGAGGTCATCCCTACGGCGGCGGCTCACCTATTAACCCGTGTTTGTATTTGCCTTTTGTATATAGGTACTGATGCGTCCCGGTGTTTGTGTTCATTCCATGTCTGCTTTCACTCAACGCCTATTCTATGGGAAGAGCTCCGCCAACAAAGCCGTCCGTTCACATGGATGTATGAACAGGTGTCCTCCGGGGTCAGGGCGTGTGCCTTGTATACTGCGGAGATACAATGTAACAACCGCAGGATTACGTGATGTGAGAGCGCGGATTAAAGGGAATGTGTGCAGACATATACAGTATATATATATATTGCCAGAAGTATTGGCCCCCCTCCCTCCAAATCATGTGATTCAGGTGTTCCAATCCCCTCCCATATCATGTGATTCAGGTGTTCCAATCCCCTCCCAATCATGTGATTCAGGTGTTCCAATCCCCTCCCAATCATGTGATTCAGGTGTTCCAATCCCCTCCCAATCATGTGATTCAGGTGTTCCAATCCCCTCCCAATCATGTGATTCAGGTGTTCCAATCCCCTCCCAATCATGTGATTCATTCAGTGTTCCAATTCCCTCCCAATCATGTGATTCAGTGTTCCAATCCCCTCCATATCATGTGATTCAGGTGTTCCAATCCCCTCCATGGACACAGGTGTATACAATCAAGCCCCTAGGCATGCAGACTGCTTCTACAAACATTGGTGAAAGAATGGGTCGCTGTCAGGAGCTCAGTGACACCAAGCGTGGTCCCGTGATAGGTGGCCACCTGGGCAATAAGTCCATCCGTGACATTTCCTGGCTACTAAATATTCCACGCTCAACTGTTAGTGGGATTATAACAAAGTAGAAGCAACTGGGAACAACAGCCACTCAGCCACCAAGTGGTAGGCCACGTCACATGACAGGGCGGGGTCAGCGCATGCTGAAGCGCACAGTGCGCAGATGTCGCCAACTGTCTGCAGAGTCAATAGCTAAAGACCTCCAAACTTGGTGTGGCCTTTAGATGAGCCCAACAACAGAGCGTAGAGAGCTTCATGGAATGGGTTTCCATGACCGAGCAGCTGCATCCAAGCCTTCCATCACCAAGTGCAATGCAAAGTGTCGGATGCCGTGGTGTAAAGCACGCCGCCACTGGACTCTAGAGCAGAGGAGATGTGTGCTCTGGAGTGACCAATCACGCTTCTCTATCTGGCAATCCGATGGACATTCTGGGTTTGGTGGTTGCCAGGAGAACGGTACTTGCCTGACTGCATTGTGCCAAGTGTAAAGTTTGGTGGAGGGGGGATTATGGTGTGGGGTTGTTTTTCAGGGTTGAGCTTGGCCCCCTAGTTCCAGTGAAGGGAACTCTTAAGGCGACAATTTCATGCTCCCAACTTTGTGGGAGGAGTTTGGGGATGGCCCCTTCCTGCTCCAACATGACTGCCCCCCAGTGCACAAAGCAAGGTCCATAAAGACATGCAGGAGCCAGTTTGGTGTGGAGGAACTTGACTGTCCTGCACAGAGTCCTGACCTCAACCCCATAGTACACCTTTGGGATGAATTAGAGCGGAGACTGCGAGCCAGGCCTCCTCCCCCGACATCAGTGCCTGACAAATGTGACAAATGTGACAAATGTGCTTCTGGAAGAATGGTCCAACCTTCCCATAGACACCCTCCTAAACCTTGTGGACGGCCTTCCCAGAAGAGGTGAAGCTGTTATAGCTGCAAAGGGCGGGGCCAACTCAATATTGAACCCTACGGACTAAGACTGGGGGGCCATTAAAGGTCATGTGCGTGGAAAGGGCGGGGCCAACTCAATATTGAACCCTACGGACTAAGACTGGGGGGCCATTAAAGGTCATGTGTGTAGAAAGGCCGGCCGACCAATACTTTTGGCAATATAGTGTATGAATATGTATATATATATATATATATATATATATATATATATACACACATTTTTTTTCTTCGTAGCTTCGCCTATTTATTGAGCATTGCAAATTTAGGAAATCTTTAACTTTTTTTTTAGTTATTTTGAAAACGGGTTTTTTTAATATTAAAACAATTTAAAATTAGGTATATTAAAAGAAAGTTGTTTCTATTTACGTTTGTCATACAATCGATCTGCAGATTTACTGTAATCAGGGGGATGGTAAAACATAAAAAAGGAACGCACAGGCTTTAGCAAGAATGAGTACAACAAGGCTTCCTTAAAGCAGAACTCCAGCCAGAAATATGATTATTGGAAATGAATAGCCTTGAGCTGTGGCTAACTGACTTCCATTCTGATGGTGCCTATATAGTTCCATGTTCAGTGCTGCTTAGCAAAACCAGTGTCGTGACTGGAAGGGTGGCATTGTTACCACTGACCACCAATGTAAGTAGCATTCTTCCCACTGACCACCAATGTAAGGGACATTCTTCCCACTGACCACCAATGTAAGGGACATTCTTCCCACTGATCACCAATTTAAAGAACATTCTTTCCACTGACCACCAATGTAAGGGACATTCTTCCCATTGACCACCAATGTAAGGGACATTCTTCTCACTGACCACCAATGTAAGGGACATTCTTCTCACTGACCACCAATGTAAGGGACATTCTTCCCACTGACCACCAATATAAGGGACATTCTTCCCACTGATCCCCCAATGTAAGGGACATTCTTCCCACTGATCCCCAATGTAAGGGACATTCTTCCCACTGATCCCCAATGTAAGGGACATTCTTCCCACTGATCCCCAATGTAAGGGACATTCTTCCCACTGATCACCAATTTAAGGGACATTCTTCCCACTGATCCCCAATGTAAGGGACATTCTTCCCACTGATCACCAATGTAAGGGACATTCTTCCCACTGATCCCCAATGTAAGGGACATTCTTCCCACTGATCACCAATGTAAGGGACATTCTTCCCACTGACCCCCAATGTAAGGAACATTCTTCCCACTGACCCCCAATGTAAGGGACATTCTTCCCACTGACCACCAATGTAAGGGACATTCTTCCCACTGACCCCCCCAATGTAAGGGACATTCTTCCCACTGACCACCAATGTAAGGAGCATTCTTCCCACTGATCACCAATGTAAGGGACATTCTTCCCACTGACCCCCAATGTAAGGGAAAATTCTTCCCACTGATCACCAATGTAAGGGACATTCTTCCCACTGACCCCCAATGTAAGGGAAATTCTTCCCCACTGACCACCAATGTAAGGGACATTCTTCCCACTGATTACCAATGTAAGGGACATTCTTCCCACTGACCCCCAATGTAAGGAACATTCTTCCCACTGACCCCCAATGTAAGGAGCATTCTTCCCACTGACCCCCAATGTAAGGGACATTCTTCCCACTGACCCCCAATGTAAGGAGCATTCTTCCCACTGACCCCCAATGTAAGGAACATTCTTCCCACTGATCACCAATGTAAGGGACATTCTTCCCACTGACCACCAATGTAAGGGACTTTTTTCCCACTGACCCCCAATGTAAGGGGCATTCTTCCCACTGATCACCAATTTAAGGGACATTCTTCCCACTGACCACCAATGTAAGGGACATTCTTCCCACTGACCCCCAATGTAAGGGGCATTCTTCCCACTGACCACCAATGTAAGGGACATTCTTCCCACTGATCACCAATGTAAGCAGCATTTTCTTAATGACCCGTGATAGATTCATCTTGGCAGGGGTTCCTTGAGTTTTAGGGCTCCTCTGGGGTAAAAAAGTTAATAAAAACTACTATAGAGTGTCACTTGTCTCATCCAAGATGGCGGCACCCAACAGCAGTTTCATGCCTTTTGGATGTCTACACAAGAGAGGCTTTCACAGGTAGATAACAAGAATAAAATACGTTAAATGCACATATAATCTCATGGCAGGATTGAATTAATTGTCTGCAGACGGGGTCTCTTTAACTAGTCATCTATTAAAGAAATGGCGGGAAAATGGCACGGGCTGCAGAATTTCAGCATTTGCACCTTCATGATGCTAGGCTGCCATACAGTACATGGGGTATCTATAGATCACACAACTATGGGCCATTACTTTTGTAAACCTTTTGATAAAGCATCATCATCTTCTGTGCATTTAGCTGGAGTTCCCCTTTAATTTCAGCTGCTAAATTTATCCGGCTGCAATCACAGCTGAAGCAATATGTGTGTTTTCAGAATGGCTAGCCTGGGAACTGCTAATTATTTCCTCTCGGTTATCTTCAAGCTCATTTATACAGAGCCTGACGCCAATCTTACAATAACAATGACTTAACTCAAGTCCTTTCAATCCTTCTAAGTGAGTTTTCAGGTAACAATAACAGAAGACAAGCCAATCAGCTGAACCCCTCGGCCCTCGCCTAATGGCGTGCTGCATCTTTTATGCCGTGTCTTCGCTCTTTTGTACATTTTTAATGCGCCCTTCATCAATATTCATGTCTGAAATGCTGATTAAAGGTGGCTTGTGCTCGGGCTTTTTCGCAGAACGATGGCGGGAAAACATTGCAAAGGCAACAATTAACACTTATGGATTCCTCGATTTATGACTGGGCTGGTCAGTAGACTTAAAGGACACCTCAATGGAAGAGATAGAAAGGCTGCCATGGCTGACCTACTTCTGAAAGTGCCTTTTGCCTGGCCATCTGTGACTTCAGTACTAGGCAGACACATTCAGCGTGTGGTGGCAGAACATAGTTGTTCTAGGCCAATGACCTGGAGAACGTTGAAGGCAAAGGATCATCATCACAGCCAGGCAATAGACATTTTTATGAAAGCCGTAATGTCAGCCCTGGTATTTTGGTATCTCAGGTTTGGTTTCAAAAGAACCTTTTAAGATTGTGTCTTGGCCTTCCCTTTAACCCTCTCCACCATTTCAAGAAGTTACCTTGGAGGCTGTCCAATAGAGTACTTCTATATCAGACTGGGAAACGTAAGGAATGGGAAATGTACGATGCCCATCCCCTCTAAAGATGAAAAATGCTCTTCACTTCTATGGATTGGAAATGTAAAATGCTAGTTTGCTCTATGGATGGTCAATGTACCATTTCCCTCCTCTCTAGGGATAGGAGATGGACCATGTCATTCCCCTCTACAGATGGGAAATATAACATGCCCTTCTCTAAGGACTGGAAAGGTACTATGGCTTCTCCTCTACAGATGGGAAATATGCCATGCCCTTCTCCTCTAAGGACTGGAAAGGTACTATGGCTTCTCCTCTACAGATGGGAAATATGCCATGCCCTTCTCCTCTAAGGACTGGAAAGGTACTATGGCTTCTCCTCTACAGATGGGAAATATACCATGCCCTTCTCCTCTAAGGACTGGAAAGGTACTATGGCTTCTCCTCTACAGATGGGAAATATGCCATGCCCTTCTCCTCTAAGGACTGGAAAGGTACTATGGCTTCTCCTCTACAGATGGGAAATATGCCATGCCCTTCTCTAAGGACAGGAAAGGTACTATGGCTTCTCCTCTACAGATGGGAAATATGCCATGCCCTTCTCCTCTAAGGACAGGAAAGGTACTATGGCTTCTCCTCTACAGATGGGAAATATGCCATGCCCTTCTCCTCTAAGGACTGGAAAGGTACTATGGCTTCTCCTCTTCAGATGGGAAATATGCCATGCCCTTCTCTAAGGACAGGAAAGGTACTATGGCTTCTCCTCTACAGATGGGAAATATGCCATGCCCTTCTCCTCTAAGGACTGGAAAGGTACTATGGCTTCTTCTCTACAGATGGGAAATATGCCATGCCCTTCTCCTCTAAGGACTGGAAAGGTACTATGGCTTCTCCTCTTCAGATGGGAAATATGCCATGCCCTTCTCCTCTAAGGACAGGAAAGGTACTATGGCTTCTCCTCTACAGATGGGAAATATGCCATGCCCTTCTCCTCTAAGGACTGGAAAGGTACTATGGCTTCTTCTCTACAGATGGGAAATATGCCATGCCCTTCTCCTCTAAGGACAGGAAAGGTACTATGGCTTCTCTTCGGTTGGAAGTATACCATGCCATTCCCCTCTTGGGGTGGGAAGTGTATTGTGACTTTCCCCTCTAGGTATATGAAATCAACAATGTCCTTTCCATCAATGGATAGAAAATGTGCCATGCTCCTAGCTTTAATGATGAGAAATGCACAATGCCCTTTCCCTCTATGGATGGGAAGTGTACCATGCTTGCACCCCCTAGGGATGGGAAATGTAGCATGCCCCTTCCTTGTAGGGAAAGGAAAGGAGCATTGTCCCTTCACTGTAGGGATTGGAAATGGACCATGTCCCTCCCCTTTCTGGGTGGAAAATGTGCCATGCTCCGACCCTCTAGGGATGGGCACTGTACAATGTCCCTTTCCTATAGGGATATGAAAGGAGCCATGCCCTTCCACTTTATGAGCAGGAAATGAGCCATGGCCCTTCCCTCTCTGGGTAGGAAATGTACCTTGTTCCTACACTCTATGACAGAAAATGTACAATGCCCTTTCTTTATAGGGATTGGAAATTAGCCATGCCCCTCCCCTCTAACAATTGGAATTGGATCATTCTGTTCTGTAGGGAGAAACAAATGTACTGTGCGTTCCACTATAGGGATGGGCAATATACAATGCCCCTTCCCTATAGGGATAGGGGAGGAGCCATGCCCCTCCTTTCTTTCTAGGGGTGGGAAGTGTACCACACCCCTACTCTCTAGGTATAGGAAATGTACCATGTTCTTCCACTCTATGGATGGGAAATATATCACGCCGTTCCTCCCTGTGGACAGGAAAGATACTATGCCTTCGCTTCTTGGGATAGGAAGAATACTATGCCTTTCCCCCATTAAGAAAGGAAAGTGTATCATACCTTTCCCTTCTAAGAACAAAAAAATGTACAACCCCCCTTCCCCATATGGATAGGAAAGGAACTATGTCCCCTCCTCCAAGAATGGGAAATGGATCATGCCATTTTTTCTCCAGGGACGAATGTACCATGCTCCCCTATAGAGATAGAAATGTACTATGCTCCTCCCTTATGGGGATGGAAATGTACCATGCTCCTCCCCTCTAGGGATGGAAATGAACCATGCTCCTCCCCTCTAGTGATGGAAATGTACCATGCTCCTCCCCTCTAGTGATGAAAATGGTCCATGCTCCTCCCCTCTAAGAATTAAAAATGTACCATGCTCTGACCCTCTAGGGATGGAAATGCACCATGCTCTGACCCTCTAGGGATGGAAATGCACCATGCTCTGACCCTCTAAGGATGGAAATGCACCATGCTCTGACCCTCTAGGGATGGAAATGCACCATTCTCTGACCCTCTAGTGAAAAATGCACCATGCTCTGACCCTCTAGGGATGGAAATGCACCATGCTCTGACCCTCTAGTGATAGAAATGCACCATGCTCTGTTCCTCTAGGGATGGAAATGCACCATGCTCTGACCCTCTAGAGATGGAAATGCACCATGCTCTGACCCTCTAGTGATAGAAATGTACCATGCTCTGTTCCTCTAGGGATGGAAATGCACCATGCTCTGACCCTCTAGGGATGGAAATGCACCATGCTCTGACCCTCTAGTGATAGAAATGTACCATGCTCTGACCCTCTAGGGATGGAAATGCACCATGCTCTGACCCTCTAGGGATGGAAATGCACCATGCTCTGACCCTCTAGGGATGGAAATGCACCATGCTCTGACCCTCTAGTGATAGAAATGCACCATGCTCTGACCCTCTAGGGATGGAAATGCACCATGCTCTGACCCTCTAGTGATGGAAATGTACCATGCTCTGACCCTCTAGGGATGGAAATGCACCATGCTCTGACCCTCTAGGGATGGAAATGTACCATGCTCTGACCCTCTAGAGATGGAAATGCGCCATGCTCTGTTCCTCTAGGGATGGAAATGCACCATGCTCTGACCCTCTAGGGATGGAAATGCACCATGCTCTGACCCTCTAAGGATGGAAATGCACCATGCTCTGACCCTCTAGGGATGGAAATGCACCATGCTCCTCCCTCTAGGGATGGAAATGCCCATGCTCTGTTCCTCTAAGGATGGAAATGCACCATGCTCTGACCCTCTAGGGATGGAAATGCACCATGCTCTGACCCTCTAGGGATGGAAATGCACCATGCTCCTCCCCTCTAGGGATGGAAATGCACCATGCTCTGTTCCTCTAAGGATGGAAATGCACCATGCTCTGACCCTCTAGGGATGGAAATGCACCATTCTCTGACCCTCTAGTGATAGAAATGCACCATGCTCTGACCCTCTAGGGATGGAAATGCACCATGCTCTGACCCTCTAGTGATAGAAATGTACCATGCTCTGTTCCTCTAGGGATGGAAATGTACCATGCTCTGACCCTCTAGAGATGGAAATGCGCCATGCTCTGTTCCTCTAGGGATGGAAATGCACCATGCTCTGACCCTCTAGGGATGGAAATGCACCATGCTCTGACCCTCTAGTGATAGAAATGTACCATGCTCTGACCCTCTAGGGATGGAAATGTACCATGCTCTGACCCTCTAGGGATGGAAATGTACCATGCTCTGACCCTCTAGGGATGGAAATGCACCATGCTCTGACC